TTACATGGGTAATTTGAATGGGTCATGGGTTATGCTAGATGGGCGTCCAAATCCGAGTCAAATACCTTGCCCAATTTCCAATAGTGTTGACTATTGTGGAATGAGATTGAATTGGTTTTCTTATAAGCTCTGCATGCTCACGGGTGTGCGGCATGTCCACGTACCTAGCTTGGTTGGCTTTAGGGCGTAATAATTATGCTTTCTCTTTTTTTCAATATCATATTGTTGTTTTTCGACTTGATGCAGGAAAGGCAACAAAAAGGAACCATTATCATTAATTATGTGAAGGAGAAGGCAAAAATCAATTGTTATTTTAGATAATTAAAATTGATCTATTTGAAAAAAAAGCACAAGTCAAAAAGAGTTTATAACTACTAATAGTGAAGATAATCTAAAGAATGACCTCTCAAATGTGTTTGCATCAAAATCTTACTTGCATGTTCATTGACTCTGTTTCATATCTATACTATTGAAAAATTTCAACATCCCCGAGATATTGATTTGTGATTATGTGTCAATTTTAAGTAGTAAATAACAATCCCTATCAAACAATCAAAGACAAATCAACACAATGATTTAACGTGAAAAAACCACAATCGGAGCGCCTCCAATTGTGATAAAAAAAAACCATGGGCAAAAGCCACAAAACAATCCACTAAGAAGACAAAAAAGAATTACATAAGCGAACCCTCAATTACTTAGCGAATCCACACCCGAATTGACGATGAGCCACCCCGGAATCCACCAAAGCTTCAGGCCCAAATTCCACGGAATCCACCGAAGAACTACTCTCTCTTTTGTGAATAAAACAAAATAAACAAACCCTTTGATATAATCCACTCAATTCATGATATAAACTCTCACAAATATCAAAGGAAACAAGCAAAGAAGCTCCAGATGAAAACCCTAATACCCAAGAAGAAGATCTGGAAGTTGTACCCTAAAATCTGACTGAAACAAAGCTTTATAGCAAACAGAGCCGCGACGGTCGCTCGAGCGAAGGAATGCTTGCAATCAGTGAAAACTTCTAGGACCAAAGATTCTTCGCTCGAGTGCACATTCCTTCGCTCGAGCGAACAAATAACTTCAACTGCATTTTTGGCAAACATGATAGGATTAAGATCACAAACTACTCTACATAGGCACAATTCAGGTTGGATTCGCATCTAAATACTCATAGCGTCACTGAAATAAAAAATCGAATAAAATTACAACTGAAAGGAGTTTTATCAAACGGGATTGTCAATTACAAAAACCTAACAACTATTATATTAAGTGAGCCCCTGTATTGGTTTCTTGAAGCTTTTACCATGTGGCATTTACATAATTTAAAAATATATATATATATAAAAATAAAAATAAAAATAAAAAATAACTCGAATTTTACTTGATATCAGTTACTCTTATGGAAAAAAACAATTACAGAACCACACCCTAAAATTACTCTCAACTTCCTCCCTTCCTCATCTTTGTAACTTGCTTTCTCTCTCTCAATTTAAGCATATATATACAGCAATATGTTGATATCTATACATACACATTTATATAGACATTATAGAGAAAATATTGGAAGAGGAGAAGGAGCCGTGGACACATATTATAATCCATCACTGCATTGGGTTGAGAGATAGAGCTAGCATTTAAAAGGGAAGAAAAAAAGGCACATAGTATGGTTTGATTATCAAATCCACAGATTGGCTTGAGTTCTACAACCAAAAAAAAAAGGTTCGTCAGGGGTGATGCCTTGATTTGATGCACTTCTACTATAAGGCAGAAATATTGCAAGGTTTTTATTTGTAGGCTACATTAACAGCATGATTTGTATATTCAAGTTTGATAAAGAACATCGAGTTATTTTTTTCCTTTTACAATTGGTATTTCAATTGTTAGTACATCTTTACACAGTTTAAGCTGTTTCTTTTAATGAAATTTTAGTATGAAAATTTGCTCAAACAACCATTATCCAATAAAAAGGAAAAAAAATCATATAATCAAATATAAAAATGTTATCAAAAGAGAGGTGTAGTTTATAATCGACCAAATATTAAACAAAAATCACACCAAAATTAATCCATAAGGTATAAAAAAATTACAATTTTGGAGAAATTTGAAATAGTGAAATAACCAAATAAAAAATAAAATAAAATATATCAAAAGAAAGGTGTAAGTTATTATCAAACAAATATCAAACAAAGTCACACAAAATTGAATCTATAAAAAATTACACACACTTAGTGTGTGCACCATTCTAGTATATATATATATATATAATCACCTCATCTCATTGTTTGGACTGTAAATGTGCCAATATCAGTAGAAATATTTGTGTAGGAACTTTGTTGCTTGCCCTTGAGACCAACTCAACTAAATTTATTGTGAATAAGAAATAATAGTATTAATTACTAAATTTGAACATTGAGTTCTCTGCTTTCAAGTTGGATCCAATTATAACAATAATTTAGCAGCAAGAGGTCTAGTTGCATGTAGTATTCAAAAGTGAGTTTGATCATGATCTAGTAAGCTATGTAAGCAGAGTCTCATAATGCTCTGCAATGGTACAAATGGAACTCTTATGTATAAACCAGTATGGACTTGAAGCCCCCATAGCCTGCTAATTGGCCTTCACCATGTCAACTTGAGAAAATGAAAACTGTCATGGAGAGTTAAGAAGATGAGATTGTATGGAAAATTGGTATTATGATTAACACAGAGCTCACGGAAGTGGTGTTTGATTACAAGCTTAAGTGGTTTTCGTTAGAAAAATAATAATTTTTGGTATGAGCAAAAAGCGTTTTTATTAAGTTTATATGCATAGAAACCAAACTCAAAATTGGACAGAGCCCTCTTATACAGGGATATGTGGACCATACCTCTTGTAAGAGGATTGTATTCCATTTTATATTTGGTTTCTATATTTCTAACATTACTAATTATTAATTATAAACAAAATGGTGTGGGGGTGTGAACCAACACAACCATAAACAATGATCGAGCCTCCATTTGGGAAGTGGGTTGGCTTTTTAACTTTTTTGGTTACTTTAGCCTGGGTTAAAAAGTTTGGTTTGGGAAGGGCTTTTTGACTTTCTAGCTTTTTGGTTTTTTGACTTTTTTTGTGAGAGAAGAGTGTAATGATTATAGATTGGATGTGATGTTTTATTTGTTATGGCTAAAATAATCTATTTTGTCTTTTATGACTATTTTAGCCACTAACGAACTTGCCAAACACCACCTCTGAGATTAAACCTTGGCAAAACGTTGACCCAACCTAAATATTTAGTGGTGTTTTGAGAAGTTGATAAAAAGTTAGTTTTTTGATTTTTTTTAACCTATTTTATATTTTTATGAATAAAAAATATGAGAGATGATGTGACGTAAAATAGTAAAAAATTAAAAACTAATGAGCTTAATGAGCTTTGACCAGTCAACGGGGCCAGGTTAGGGACGGCCAATGTGATATTTCTAAAGCTGAGACTCTACCCATGGGCTTAATAATATGGACTTATGGGCATCGGGCAGGAACTGAGCTATATGGGCCTCATATGGATACAAAATAAATTTTTAAAAATATAATACAATTTTTTTTAAGTGCATTATATTAATTAAAATTAAATATTGAATCATGAAAAATAAAAAACTTAACTTTATTTATTGAAAGACATAATTGCATTCATTATGATTATTAAATTATATCCATCTTAGGCCTCGTTTGGCAGCATCACTTTTTAGTCTAAAAGCCAAAAACTCATTAAAAAAATTTTAAAAATCAACAACTTATACTAAAAAGTCAAAAATATCATTTTTCTTTACTTTTTGCATATCTTTTCATAAAAAAATTAAAAAGTCATCCTAAACATACTAATTTTTTTATATTATAGTTAAGCCAAAAAGTTAATAAAAAAAACATGTTTCCAAACGAGACCTTAATCTCATAAAATTATAGTTATTAGTTTCATAATTGGCGTACTATTTACTTAGTTTCTTAATTTTAATATTATTATTTATATTAAAAATGTATATGTACACCAAAAAAATTAAAATATATATATATATATATATGGCCTATGGCCGAGCCTTGAAAATCCCATCAAGCTAGACCATGGCTGCCTCAGAGGCCCTATCCCTTGGCGCAAGCTCAATTCATATATTTTAGGGTCGGGATAGACCGTCCATCCTCGAGTCTAGGCGAGGCCAACCCATAATCCATGGACTTTTTAATTAGAGATTCATTTTTTAAGGATTCACTATAACAAAATACACATTTGGCCTGAAAATAGCGATCAATATAACTTTATTAGTCACTGAATATTATGTTTATGGCGATTAAAAGAGGTTGTCGTCGAAGTTTTTGTTGACTAAACAAAATTTAGTCATTGAAAGATAAGTTTTTATTTAGACGTCCAAAATTGAATTTTTGGTAACCAACGAGGAATTTAGTCACCAAATCTTGACATTCAACCACTCAAATTGTTTTGGCCGTTGTTTCCTTTAATTTTTTTGTTGGAAAAAAATTGAAATTTTGAAGGATTTTAATAAATTAATTGGCAATTAAAGGTGTATTGTCAACTAATGGTGTTAATACAAAATTTGAAATTATATATTTATCCATCCACAATCAATTATTTTATAGTAAAATTAAATTTGAAATACGAAAAATGTACGTAATTGTTAAAAATAAAGATCGCAATGGTAAAATAAACTTGTTGATATACAAATTTATATTTTGAGAGAACACAGTGTAATTATACCAAAACAGTAATTCTATCACTACTCGTGGTAGATTGATGTAATTTTCCATAATAGAAAATGTTTCTCCCTTGTTGCAAGGAGATAGAAAACAAAAGAAATTTCAAGGCAAAATTTTAAACTTCCACCACAGCAACAACCTGCTTTGAAGACTACAATTATAAATCTACAATAATAAATCTTCCACCTAATAAAAAAATCTTCAATTATAAGGCATTGACATCAGAGATAGAACATCAATGGAAAACAACTAGTGCTACGTAATAACTAATAATGAATAAATTAGTCATTCTCAAGAAATAAATAAACTAGTCATTCTCATCATGTTGAACTAATTTATAATTCATGAATAAATTTGAATGTTGTAATGGCTGCTGCCATTGTATTTCACATACACGATGTTTCTGTATATACAACAAAAACCGGCAGCAATTCTGAAGCGGAGTTCGCTACAGATCAGTTAGCCGGGGACCTGCATACGAATTTCTGTTGTTGCTGGTTTTGGCTCTGTATATGGCACAATCTCGCTTTGTCTCGCAACTCTTGGAACGCTTTCATTGTTTCCACATCAAATCCACCAGCAAACTGCAAGAACCAATCTTTCTCATCAGTAAGATAACATTATAAGTATTATTGTCTTTCAGAGCACTGTAATTTTGGTTGTTGTAGGAAAAATTGGTTTTACCTGATGAACTCGGAAGGCAAACCTTACACCTTGAACGATCAACTCTTCTTCTTCGGGACCACCACCAACTATTTCAAGTTCCGCTGATACTCTCTTCATGTGCTTCATGGCTAATTTCACAGATGCCAGCTTGATCTGCATTGACATAGACCATTATTACCTTATCCTTCGTTTGGTGTTGTTTTTTAGTTACGACACTACAACTAGGAGCTCAATAATGTCATGGGTACCCATATAAATTAAAATCACTTTATGACTAGAAAACTAGGGTCAAAATCGGTAAATTGATGAATACTACGTTATTCGTACACCCTAATTTTCATCACTTCAACCAGTAATTATGGATGAGCCAAACACGCAGACTCGCAGAATTCGGTCAAGGAGAAATTATAGTGCAAATTAAAGTTTAATCTTCTGTGTTTAGATGCCACATTGATCTGCATCGATGTGCACTGTTATTATCTTTCCTTTGGTGTTGTTTGTTAGTGATGACAGAAGGTACGTACAGCTTGAAGACATGACAACACCAGCTAGGATTCTCAATAATGTCGTAGGTGCAATAAATCATAATCACTTTCTAACTAGAAAACTACAGTGAAAACAGTAAAATTGAAAACTAGAGTACTTCGAAGTTAATCCATCCCCTAATACAGCATATCTGGGAGTAAAGAAGCACAGATACTTCTACGGATACAGCATGTTTGCTGTCCGTATTTGACACCAATACTCTTCAAACACTCTTAAAAGTATATCCGACACTTCTTTAATGTGTTTTAATTTAAAAAATAAAATTTATAATATTTGACACTATACTGATATTTCGTAAGACACTTCGACGATATTTCTTGAAATCAAATTTTCATATACATGGCATATAATAAATTTATAAAAATATAAAATTTTAAAGTGTCCCAAGCGTGTTATGTCTTGCATGGCATATCAGCGTGTCCGTAACGCATCCATGTTGTGTCTCTGTGCTTGTGGCTACTTAGTCTCGGAGTAATCATTTCAAAAAAGAAAGAAAGAAAGGTTGGTTGAATAGGAAATAAAAAGCAATAAAAATCCAATCAACCTCTAAACTATTAACACATAAATATATGCTTCTTCAATCCATTCTAGTCTACTAATGACCAAAAATCTGAATTCATTAAATCCTCAGAAAATTTTCCACCAAACACTGCTTGGTAATGCTAATCCCATAGCCAACATTATACAAATGAACAGGGAATGATGCTTCCTACTTCTACATCTCTCTCTCTCTCTCTAGTTTTTATTTGATCTTCAAGTATTTTAGTAAAAAAATATTAAATTTACCAGAACGTATAAATTGTCGCAACATTTATATTCCTTTAAACTCATAAATCTAAAGTAAACAATCATCAAACAAGCAATTACAATTTAGACATCTGAGAACTTCACATGTGTCAAACTCTATCCATCCCTTTTTGTCATCTAGTAACCACCATTCATAGTATAATACTAAACAGAGTCAAACTGTGTCAATCTAATTTTGTTTGCCTCCCTCCGAATATTAACAAGTACGACTCACTAAAGGGGACCCACTATAGAACTATTTAATTCATAAAAAAAGAGGTTTATCCAGGGTGGGTATATTTGTTATCATCAATATATATCCAATCAGTACAGAGAGGCTATACATATCAAAACTTGTATTAGGAAAAATATTGAGGAAGATGCTAATTACCTGACTCACATATCCAGAATCAAGCATCCAATCTGTTGGAATATGAAATGCATTGTATCGCTTAGTAGCCGATTCTCTCAATCGTGAGAGATTATAAACACCGTGCTCCAATCTGCATTAATCACATCACCAACTTTAAAATTACGGATTATAGTTAAAATGAACAATTTAACCAACATCTAGATATCTATAATCTCAAATTCCATTGAAGATTCATATAACAAGAAATGACAGTTGCAGATAAGAAACTCAAGCATACTTTTCAAACAAGGCCTGCATTTTCTTGAGAGCAGGAGCACAATGCTGGCGTGGATCATCACGAAACGATGATGCCTCAGATTCAAGCTTCTTCAGATCACAATACCCAAATGCAGCTTCGCGCAACGCATCAGCCTTTTGCTCCGGCCAATCAAAATGTTTTAGAACAGCCCTTTCATCAACCTGAAGAAACAATTTTATTGAACTACATCCATAAAACTACGCAAAAAATTTCTAATGGGTCGTAAGCTTGGAAAAAAGGAAAATAATTTATGGGTTTTCCATTAATATACCAGGTAAGAGAGCTCATCATCAAGCCATTTAACAAATGGCACAACATCTTCAATGTCTGTGAATGCAGCATTCGCAACTTCTTTGATGAGAAACCTAATGAAATCACCCTGTGTCTCCACATCCGTCTTAATCTGTAATTAACATACCAAATAAAGAATTATCATAAACTAATTTGCTGATATTATGTATAGCCAAAGTAACCCAAAAGCTACCCACTAAATTCTTTCAATGAAAAATGTCCTAAATCTGAAAAATGTTACCACATGAAATTGTTTACATGACAACAAGAACTGCAAAAGTAGGTCAATGAAAAATGTCCTAAATCTGAAAAATGTTTCCACATGAAATTGTTCACATGACATCAAGAATTGCAAAAGTAGGTCAATATTATCTTGCATGTAAAGTTTCTCTCTTTTCACTACATTATTAATTAGAGCACCATGCGTTCAATGCCACAACTATCCAATAAATAATTACCCCTATATCTTACCTTCCCCAAAAGATCATGTTTTGAACTACCAGACCTTGAGCCAAGAACTCGAAAAATTTATACATGAACTATATAAGTTGTTGAAATGTGAATATTGCCATTTGGGTTTATCAAATTTTACACCTTTTTTTTAAAAAAAAAAAAATTATCATCATTCGGACTGTGATCCTCTCATTGTATATTATAATGAAAAACTTCATTATATGTAACCAACGGTAAGTGTAATGATTTTTTTTAATTTAGAATAATTATAAATTTATAAATTTTATTTCACCATAACTATCTGAATTGAAAATTTTCCATTACAAATAAAGTATAAAAAAATAATATCCATCATTTCAAATCTCAACAGTGTCTTATATGCAAAAGATTATATGGGGGTACCACTGAAGATACCAAAGAGTGGTCACTTGTGACTGACAGAGACAAAAAAATTAGTGGTAAAATTGTAAATAATGAAAATAACAGTGATTGTAGTAATTGTAAAAACATACAGCGAGCAAGTGAGTGGACCGGTTCTCAATTTCTCCGATCATGTCGCGAGCGTTCGCCGCCGAAGCCTCGGTGGCTCCGCCACCGGACTCCCGCCGGGAGTCCCTCCGCATCAGCGAGTGGTAGAACTCCACCACCTCCGGCACTCTCCTCACCTTCGCCGCCACACACTTCATCCCCTTCGACGGCGGCGGAGGCGGCGGCGGCGGCGGGGCTGGAACCACCCTCGACGGAGGCGGCGGCGGCGGCGGTGGTGGATGAACCGAGTGCTCTGTCAACGCTCTCTCCGCCGCAACACTCAATGAACAGACGGAAGACGATGATGAAGAAGAAGACAACGATGGAGATCGTCTAGGAGGAGGTTTGGGAACCCTAGGCGCTCGAGATCTCAATGTGGAAGACTCGGAAGTCTCTGCGATTTCTTCAGAGTTACAGCGAGAGTGTCTCGGTCGATCAACTTCGACAATCTCATCTCTCTTCAACTCCTCATTGTTCTTGTGATTATTGATTTCATGATTCACGCCATAATCGAATGATTTCACTCCTTTCTTCACATTCTTCATCAGATTTGACCTAACAGACACATCAATCAGTGCTTGAAACCTCTGCGAAGTCGATAACAATAACTCATCGCTCTCAAACTTGTTCGATTCCGTTACCGATTTCTTCAACGCTGCAATCTCAGACTCCATTGCCTTCACCTTCTTCTCGTTTTCCTCCTTCTCTTCCAATGTTTTGGCGTGAAGAAACTCCATATCATGCCTGAGGCTCTCGTTCTCGGCCTCCAAACACTCGATCTTCTTCGCATTTCGCTCAATCTCTTTGTCCTTGGAATCGATCTCTTGTTCGAGAACTGGTAGGATCGATACGGACTCTCTGAGGAGTTTGTGTTCGAGGAGTTGGGTCTGCAAGAGAGATTCTCTCTCGCGGAGTTGTTCGACGAGGTGGAGGAGCTCGGTGACGTCGGGGGGGCGGGGCTGGACCTGGGCGGAGGAGCAGCGGGGGAAGTAGACGCCGAAAGAGCGAGAGAAGACGGCGCCTTTCTGTGGAACCTTGCCGGAGCTCGGCGATGGCAATGGGAGCTTTGGGGATGAATCTGGTTTGGAATTTGAAGGCGATTTTTGGAAACCCATCGCCATTTTTACCTTCCCAGCAACCATTGTTGCTCCAAATCCAGATAAGCTCTCTCAATCTCTCTCTATCTATCTCTGTATATCTATCGTTGGGTTAGAATATAAATGGTGTGTAGAGAGAGAGAGAGAGTGAAGGGTCCAAAACAAGTTGTTGTCTGTTGTCTGTTGTCTGTTGTCCGTCTGTGAGCGTAAGGTCTGCAAACAACAACTTGGAGTTTGGGAGAGGGGAGAGAGAGAGAGAGAGAGTGTGTGTGTGTGTGTGTGTGTGTGTGTGTGTGTGTGTTTGGATGCTGAGAAATTGAGAGAGAAATTGAAAGTGAAAAGGGGGGGAAGAAGAAGGTGAAAGAAAGTAAAAAATAGTGATACACAGATTACGAGAAAAGAAACGGTCTACTTTTCTTGGATCCACTTTTTAAAAACATTACTGCACTCACTCGCTTCACATGCGTAACACACGCGCCAATTTAATGCAATCCCTCAGAGTGCTTCAAAGGCTTGGGTTTCAAAGCCTGTGTTTGGACATAGGTTTTAGTCAAATAAAATAAAATATTACATTTAATTAATAATTATTATTATTATTTTTTTATAAAAAATCAAAAAAATTAAAAAAATTCTTTCTAAACGACACATTTTAGTCCAAACTAAAATAGTCAAAAAAATTAAAAATTAAAAAGTCAATCCACTTTCCAAACAAACCCAAAATAAGATTTAGGGTGATACCTTATGCTTCCTTTGTGAAATGGAATGGTTTTATTGACTTTTAAATTTTTTTGATTACTTTAATCTGGATTAAAAACCTTTGTTTAAGTTAAACTTTTTGATCTTTTTAACTTTTATGAGAAAAAAAGTAAAATGATTATAATTCTTTCCTCTAACACTGATTTTGATAGAAGAGGAATCAGCGATGAGCAGACCGACAGGGCTTTGATATGAGCAAACAACATGGCTTTGAGATAACAGCGGCGTGGACCACTAGGCTGTCGGCAACGTCGAGAAGAAGTAAAGAGAGAGTTGCGCAAAGAAGTAGAGAGAGAGTGAGAAAATGATTTGCTTAGGGTTTTGATTTGGGAACCATATATATATACATAGATATTTTTGTCATTTCGCAAAGGCATGTCTTTATGGACATAATAAAAGGGCTCTATTGGGAAGAGCTAAAAACGCCAGTTTTTGGCTTTTTACCCATTTTGGGTCACATCACTTCTCACATTTTTTACTCACAAAAAGATAAAATAGACTAAAAAAGTCAAAAAATTAGCTTTTTACCAACTTCCCAAAACACTCCAAAGTTGGGTGTGGACCTTCGAGTATAAGAAATACAAGATTTGATTTTTCACCTGAGTACCCTTTATTTTTTATGTGAAGAATATACACGAAATGTTCAATAAAATAAACGGTTTAAATTATTAAAACGAGATTTATAGTGACTCCACGAACCTGAACCATGCCTTCCAATATAATTGTGCCTACTTTAAAATAGGAGACAAAGATGGTAGAATACCAATTCATGCAAGATACCAAAACTCTTTTTTGATAGGTAAAATGAAATTTTATTGTTGAATGTTGTTTTAGAAAATACCAAGATCATTAGATAAGGCATTTGGATATTTTTATACCATAATTTTTTTCATGCAATCCCTTTCAAATTGATGTAATTTTTTTTTTGGGGGGGAAATTAAGATGAAAATATTAGACAATCTTTAGTACATTTTTTTTTTTCTAATAGACACAAGTGAGTAAAAAAATATGATGATTAGTTGTGACATGATTCAAACTAGTGGTTGCGACATACCATGCGTGTGCAATTCAGATGAGAAAAAATAAAACAAATAATAAAGAAATTAATATTATAATATATAAATTGCTTAAATGGTAAGTGTGTTCTTATTAAAATTCAAGTTCTTTAGTTCGAACATTGCTTTCGTTGTTATATAATAATTTTTTATTTTAATATATAAAAAAACTGCCATGTGGTATGAAGAGAAAGTTTGAAGGTTTGGATACCAAATCCAGTGATCACAAATATAATAGTATAGATAGATTAAGATGGTAAAAGATGGTTTTTTTCATGCAACATGTCTAGGTTTAAGTCTTACTAGGCTTTATTTTGCATCTTACACAAGTCCCACCATTTTGAAAGAAAAAATAATAGAGACGACATCTCTTCATTTTTTTATCTAGACTTGATGCACTAAGACCATCTCTAACCCTTCACCAAACCTAGCATCAAATTTGAAATTTGGTGAAAAAGGCACTGTTTGGAGTTCCAACGGTTTTACCAAATTGCTATCAAATCGAGAATTCACCAAACATTTCACCAAAAGGAGGACAGGCTCCGCATTTCACCAAAACACTGTGCATAACCGTTGAGGGAGACCAACCGGTCGACCAGTCGGTTGACCAACCGGTTAACTACCAAAAGGTTCAAACAGTTCTAAAAAAAGTTCAAACTGTTGAAAAAAAAAATTGCCTTACCGGTCGACCAGCCAGTTCGATCGACCACTAAAAAGTTCAAACAGTTCAAAAAAATCAAAAAAAAAAAAAATTGGCTTAACCGGTCGACCAACCGGTTATCCCGGCACAGATTTGATGAAAATTTGATGAAAATCAATCATTGGAGCACTCAGTATCAGATTGAGAAAAAAAATATTTTTTTATTTAGATTTGATAAAAATTTTGATTCAGAATTGGAGATGCTCTAAGAAGTAACCGTCGAAGGCACAATTGTTGGATTTATTTTTCTAGTGTGGCCCAATAGCCTACATATTTTTTACATGTTTTAATTTATTTGGACTCCACAAATAGATAAAGCCAATATTTGAGATCAAGTTCAGTAAATAGAATTTTAATATAATCACTCTTCTAAGATAAGAAGGAAACCTTGATGGATTAGGAATTCTTCTGATAGAGTTTATCTGGCCCTCTTCTCTCCTCTATATAAGGATGGGTGACTCCCCTTTCATATCATGAGTATTTTTTCCATCACTTTAAGTTTTATAGTCATCCTAATTAAAAGAGACAGAGAGAAGAAGGTGAGCCAAAATTAAAGGTTCAACTCTAAGGGGTATTTTCTCAACTTCTCTAATTCAATAGTTGACAAAGGTATATTCGTTTTATTCTTGAGTTGTATCGAATTCAAGATCTTGTAAAGTTTAATTCCGCATTATTATTATGGTTACATGTATTATTAAATCTTACAACAATGACATTAGCCTTAACATCCTTCCCCATCAAGTCCCTCCCCCATCCCTATGCACTAACTGAAAATGATGAGACCTTTCTAGTCCAGAGCCAGATCTCTCTTCTGATCAAGTCTTCTCTTTGTTCCAAGCCAAAAACATTGTTCCTAATATTGATATTGTGAATCTGATTAATAGTTTGAGTTTCTCAATATTTAGTGGTCATTTGGTGAGGAATGAGACGATTATTAACAATGAGAGCTATATCGAAAAAAAAAAGGACAAGAAGCATAAGGAGGGAAGGAGGTGATTAGATAGAGAGGATACATGTAAGTGGCTAATAAAAAATTGAGGCGGGCCTATCATTTTAGTGATATCCCAAGATTTGATTGACCGTCTATAAATTTATAGATATGCAAAGTAGGAGTAATATTATGAATTATAAAAAAAAATATCATGCAAATAATTATGAAAGATTTTTTATTTGTGAATTATACATACAATAAAGAGAAATGTTAGGGGTCATGAAAATTTTTTCATGAAAATGATCATGAAAGATTTGTGACCCTTAGATTACCTTGATTAGTGTGTGGTGCTTTATTCTAACTGTAATCCAAAGGTCACAAATCTTTCATGATTATTTTCATGAAAGACTTTTCATGATACCTAGCATTGTTGTACAATAAAACACCACACACTAATCAAAGGATGAAAATTTTTCATGATTCATTTCATGATATTTTTTTCATGATCCCTAATATTATTCGCAAAGTACCCAGGTAAAAGAGTAATGATTGGTAGCTCAAATATGAAGTTGGCTCGAATGGCTCGAAATTCACCTTGTCGGTCGTCGGGGCGGACATTCAGCCGGTCGTTCAACGAGGAGGTTGACAGCCACAGTCGACAAAGGTGACAACCGTGGTAGATAATCTTTCACCCGGTCGTCCAGGCGGACGACCGAACAACACCTATTCGGATTATTCGAGTCGGCTTCAATTCGAGCTACCACGCTTTTTCTCATGTAGAATTTGTTCCCTTCTTAAAATCATAATAATTGTTTCAACAAATCATTTACTTTCATTCTTATAAAAATTAACTAACTTAAGTAATTTGTACTGATTTATTCCACCTTTTATAACTGTTGTCGATTTCGTCCAACTCTAATAATTAGTTGATCAAACAATAGAGACAATGAATTATGGGCTGATACATTTGATCTATTTTATTAATTGTTAGAATCAAATTCCAATCATTAATTTAGATATAATCTTTAACGCACTTATTGATACTCACTTTACAAGTAAATTGACAATAAAAATAATTCTTTGTTTTAAAATAAAATAGTAACAAGCAAAAACAAAAGTAAAAAGAGGGGATTATAAATTCACCTTCACAAAGAAAAAAAATATCACACATGAAAACATCATACTTTTGTGAAATTATTTATATGAATGGCAAACATAATAGCTCAAATTTTGTGACTTAAAAGTGGCTCAAATAGTCAAAACGACGTCGTTTTGAGTACAGAACAACATAAAAATTTTGGCCATTTGAGTCACTTTTGAGTCACAAAATTTGAGTTACGAGACATTTCCCTATTCTTTTTCATTTTACTATTAATAAATAAATAATTAGGAAGAGGGCGGTGTGGACACGGTGAGATGTGTGCGCGTGGGGATTGCTAATATGATTAAATTTTTTTTTTTTTTTTTTAGGGATTCTTCGGAAGGAAAGTTAGAAAGGTGCTTCTAACGGTCGGATTATTTAACTCGTTGGCTATATTCTCGCGATATTCTCTCGAGATTTCTCACTCCTCATAAATAAGGAAAGTGGCAGAAGTCCTTTTATTTTATTTTTTTTGTTTTTAATTTTTTGTTTTTTTTTTGTTTTTTTTAATTACAAATACATCCCTCAAGTTTATTTAACATATAATTGTCTTTTGTTATTTAAAATATTATAAATATTTTATTGTCATAATT